TCCTAGCTAGGAAGTGGGGGAGCTGGGATTTAACCCAGCATATTTGGCTACTACACCCTGCTGCCTCCTGTAGTAACTCATGCCTAATCAACTTTAGTTTTTGTGTCTCTGCTCAGAATTCAATGCCTGGGTGAGATAGCCTGCCTGGCCCAGCTTGGGGCCCATGCTGGTCTTGGTGAGAACTTACTGGCCCCACATCCCACCAGACTGTGTCCAATGGGGGCAGGGTAGTTATCCCAAGGGAAAGTTGGTGAGGAAGAGACACTGGGATTTACTCTAAAACTGGCACTAGGATCCCTTCCTGGAGGAGTGGAGACCTATGCAAAATCTGGGTTTCATTAGGGTAGAAGGGAAATTAATGTTAGGTGGACATTCTTCGAAAAATAATAAAACACAAGCTCACAACCTTCGAACATAAACAAACTTCCCTTCAGTGTACAAAGTTAGAAGTCCCTGCCCTGAACTCCCCACAAGACAGATGCCAAGGTCTTCACACCCTAAAGCCTGTGGTGAGTGAACACACCTGGCCCTGGAGCCGAATCCTGCCACTCATCAGTCGATGTGACCAAGTTGCCTGTGCCTCAGTAAGCACCAGATGGGTTGGTGTCTTATATGTCATAAGAGTCAACTATTTTTTTTTTTTGAGACAGAGTCTCACTTTGTCACCCTCTATAGAGTGCTATGGCATCATAGCTCACAGCAACCTCAAACTTTTATATATAAAGCGGGGTGTGAAGGATATATATATATATATATATTTTTTTTTTTTTTTGTAGAGACAGAGTCTCACTTTATTGCCCTTAGTAGAGTGCCTTGGCATCACAGCTCACAGCAAACTCCAACTTCTAGGCTTAAGCAATTCTCTTGCCTCAGCCTCCTGAGTAGCTGGGACTATAGTCGCCCGCAGCAATGCCCAGCTATTTTTTGGTTGCAGTTTGCTGGGGCTGGGCTTGAACCCACCACCCTTCATATATGGGGCCAGCGCCCTACTCACTGAGCCACAGGTGCCGCCCTATATTTTTTTGTTTAGCAGGCCTGGGCCAGGTTCCAACCTACCAGCCCTGGTGCATGTGGCTGGTGCCCTAACCACTGAGCTATGGGTGCTCAGCCAACAACTATCATTTTATTATTTGTAACAGTGAGAGCTTAAGCAAATTCAAACAATGTGCATGAGTGATCCACTGTCACAGGTTGAGTCACTCCAGTGTTCAAGCCCTTATGGCCCTTAGAAAGCAACACCCTGATTGAAAGGTGAATCATTCATAGGTAGAGACAAATAAGAAAATAATAAGGGCTCGGTGCCTGTGGCTCAAGTGGTTAAGGTGCTAGCCACATACACCTAAGGTGGCAGGTTCAAATCCAACCTGGGCCCGCCAAACAACCAAACAACAATGATAGCTG